TCGGCCGCTCGCGGGCTGGCACCGACCGGAGCGGCCGCCGGCCACGGCGGAGCGATGATCCGCCGGGAAGGTAAGGAGCGCCCTGCCGTGCCCTGCCCGCGGCGCCGGGCACCGCGGCCCACCGCGCTCAACAAGTGTCTGCCCTGCCGGTACCGGCACCGGGATTGCGCCCGGTGCCCCGCGCTCCTGCCGGGCTGCTCGCGCCCTCCTTCCCGCTCTCCCCGCCACGGGCCGGGCGGCGCTGCCCGGCGCAGCCCCGGGGCTGAGACCGGAGGACGGGGTGCCCTGGCTTCATGCCCTCCCTGGGCAGTGGGACACGTCCTCGTGCCACCGTGGCTTGGAACGGGTGGCCGTAGGACGCTGTTGTCTGCGGCACCCTTGGGTGCCGTGGGGAGGGCGGGTGTGGGGGTGTGGGCTCTGCGAGGAAGGATCTCCTGTAAGTGGGATTTGCACCTTGAGGCAGGGCGAGATTGGCCCCAGACACCATGTTCTCTTTGGTGCTGCAAGTAGGGTCCTCTGGTCTCTCCCCTGTGCTGGGGGCACAGGACTTCCCCGGGGTTGGTGGTCCAGGGCCAGCGCTCCCCTGCTGCAGCTGGCTGTCACCCAGTGCTGGTGGCCAGGAGCACAGGGGTCAGCATAGGGCGCATGCCGCTCTTTCTATGCAGCCTGGACTGGGGTGGGATGTTAACACCAGGTTTACAGTTATTTGTGTCATGGTGCGGTGGTCCCTGTTCTCCACCTGCTTCCTTTAGCTTCTGCTGTTAAGGTCAGGAATGACCAGGCAGAGATGACTCAACCCTGCTCGCAGGATGCTGGGCAGTGTCTGAAGCCACTGTCTGATCCTGCAGAAAAGGAAGCCCTTAGTGATAACACAGGGCTGGGATGCCCATAAAGCCAAATAAGTCTGGAGCTTGGGGAATTCTCTGCTTTTCCTGGAGCCAGCAGGGAGCCCAGCTCTGAGCAGGAGGTATTCATGCCTCCCCAGGCTCCTTTCTCTGTTCTGCTCCCATGATGAGTCAGTGTGGACCAGTGACACAGACAGGACCCCCCCTTCTTTTTTCAGCCGAGGAGGAGCCAGGAGGGGAGCCGGCTGGGCGAGCGGGTACAGCAGGTGGTATGCACCCTAGCAGACACAGGCCTCCTTGTTCCATGACCTGAATTCCCTGCCGAGAGCCCTGGGATGAGCAGGGTCATCCTTTCTGCATGAGTTCCTGGGTTAAAAGACGAGTCCCCAGCAGTGGTGGGACAGCTCCCCCGCCTCCTCACACAGACACTCTTTGTCTGTGGGCTGCCTGGGTGACAAAGGGAAATATTCACTGATAGTGCTGGGATGGGCTCAAGGTCCATGGGAGCTCCCCACCCGCCTGAGGGATGGGTCCCTTCTGGGGCTGGAGCTGGACTGGCAGCTCTGGACATCTGCCCAGAGAAGCATGGATGTGTCCTGGCACAGAGAGCTCACAGCTACACTATTTTAGGTCCAAGGTTGTCTCACAGCTATGGTGAGCCCAGTCTTTAACCAAAGCATTGCTTCCTGGCAGTCTCCAGCACCCCTCCTTCCCTGAACCCACGACATCCTGTTCCTTTCCCACCATGTTGCCTGCTGACCCAAGGCTGCTTGCTGCGTGAAGCAATTCGTACACTTCACCCTGCAGAAACCCAAGTTTTGCTATACGTATAGCTGCAGTTTGCAATATCTTGCATTACATGAGTAAGGCTATGCTCAGCTTTGCTGCAGCCATCTGGCCACGCGTGGGAGACTGCAACTCCTGCAGTAGTACTCATAGCCCTGTGCAACCAGGACATGTCCAGCTCCTGAATGGCTTCTCTGCCTGGGAGGTGGCAGAGGTACTCAGGCTGCCCAGTGTCATGGGGTTCAGAGCTGAGTCAACCTGGGTTTAGCCCCTGATTTTCACAGTTCAGAGGGGCCAGCAGGCAGAACCACCCCTCCTCCAGCCCCTGCCTGGATCTCTGCTGTGGCCCCTCTGCACCTCACAGCAGGGTTAGTGTAAGGAGGCTGCTTTTGTGGCTGTCTGACTCTTAAAAAAAACAGAGCTGGAAGGCAGCTTGAGGCATTATCCAGGTGAGCCCTTTGCACCACTCCAAGGCTGCACTCACACCTTCCCTGACAATGTCTGTCCATCCTTCAGTGTTAATGCCTTGTTACTCCTGTGTCATCTCTGCAGACACTGAACGGGCAGTGGAAATTCTGACCAGATATCAAAGCACCCTGCGGTCCCCGGAGGAGCAGGAGCTAAAAGCCTCCATTGGAAAGGTCTCGCACATCTTCCAAAGTGAACTCTTCCAGGCTCTGCTGGGTAAGCCCCTGCCTTGCGGTCCTTGGGACTTTGTGGTCAGCGGGCTCTCCTGGGGGCCCTAATCCTGTGGGAGAGCAGGGCTTGGGCAGGAGATACTGGGGGTTGGGGCTGCAGTTGCTGGGTGGTCGCGACGTGAACAGGATTCCTCAGTTGGGTGATTGTGGACAAGGGGTAAAGCCTTCTTCATCAGGCTATGCCAGAGCTATCCAGCACCCACTAAAGGGTGCTGCAATGCTGTGAGCACCCTCTGCACAGTGCAGGCGTGGTGTGTCTGCAGCCACCGCCGGTTTCCAGCTCTGCTGCTGTACCAAGGACACCCCGCCACAGGGCCTCGCTCTTCCCTGCGCCCCTCAGCTTCATCACGACCTGCTACTTTCTATTCCTTCTGCCGACCCAAAGGGAAACTAAATTTTTCTATCTTTGAGAAAGAATCCACACATACCCAGCTCCTTTTGGGGTATCCTGGCCTTTCTTATGCTTAGATCCATGAGCACTTGCAAGTAACACACTGTGCAAGCAGCTCCATTTCACACAAGAAACGGACTTGACAGCGAGGCTCGTCTTGGGGCTGGGCACCAGAAAAGGCCATTTTGAGCACAATGTAAAGTTCTGTATGTGGATTTAGGCAAACAGAGCTGGAGTCTTGCCGGACTACACAGCTTCTCCGTGCAAGATGTGCAGCTATCTTAGTGAACAAGGTCATTTGAAAATGCACTTTCTTTGCAAAGTATTTTTTTTTAGAAAAACAAAATTTGATGGTTTTGGACTCTGAAGTTGCTCAGCTCCATTTCCTGCCAGAGCAGAGCAGATCCTGGCTGTGCAGGTTCACTTAGGGCACTAATTTTGAAGGTAAACCCAGAGAACCATTTGCAGAAGCTGCAGTGTGCCGAGAGGGGCAGGAGCTCCCTCTCAGCTCCTCTCCTTAAGTCCCACTTGCTGTGGGGCTTGGGGAAGCATGCACTGCCTTGGCAGTTTTTGTTCCCGGGTGTCCTGGGAGAGAAGCCAAGTTTCCCTGCTGGGAAGGGAGGGGAAGCACCCCAGAAGCTCTGCATCCCGGAGGAGGACCTGGGCCCCGGGGTGCAGAGCTCCATGCATGGTCTGTGCCTCATTCTCAGTTTTGACCCAAAGCTATCTCAGCCCTGGCACTCTCCCTCACCATTGCTCTCCTCTCTTGGCAGCTTTCATCTTTTCTTCACACCTCTGCAGCCGGAGACCCATTTCTGTGCCCACAGGGCCCCAAGTTGCCAGCAGCAACTCTGTGCTTCAGGTTATCCTTTGAAAACGAAATACAACCATGGGATAAGCAGAGTGTCCTGAGATAGATATTCTCTCCTTTCCTTGTTCTTGCTGTTGGAGCATCACCCG